GTTCGCTTCTGATTTATTAGCTCTTTTCCCTCTTGGAGGCATTTTAATAGTTGTAGAATTTGTTCAAAGACTTGAAAATGTAGAAGATGTGAAAAATCGTAGAACAGACAAGAGGAGCAGTAAAGACGTCTGCTCTCGCTTGCAACCCGGAACTGCAGACTCGTTATCAGTATTGGGATAGTAAGAAAAGTAGTTTTATTTGATGACAGTAAGCAGCCTATTAATGTTATATACAGTACATACTGAAATTCGCAATGAACTGTGTACATAATGTTTCTTTCTGAGTGCATCGTGTCATTTGAAATTAATAAAAAAAAACTGACCTGAATGTGACTAGTAGTACATAAAACTGCTGCTGTTTAGTGTAAAAAGTGCTTTAAGTTGGAACCACACAAGCAAAACATTGTGACCAATAATAGCTACTAGGTAAGTAGAAACATGCTGTAAAAGCTCACGTTAGGTAAATGAAAGTTCAGTGTTGTAGAGATCTGAAACCTTGCATTTTAAGGAAGAAGTGACACACTGCTTCTTTAAAATGGTTTCTACTGGCCATTACCTAAAATATATTGGTTAAAAATAAAACACTAGGACATTGCAGAAGCAGCCTTTTCCACTAGCAATGAGAAACAGATGGGGAGGTCATCTCTTTAACTACTACCAGTTATGAGTCAGAGGGCGCATGTTCTTGTGAATTTCAGTTTATCACAGGTCAGTGACCCTGGACAGCACCAGGGCCCACTTTTGCTTGTTTTGATTAAAGACAAAGAAAAAAATTCTCACGTTGCATGAGGTCACATTTAAAACTTACAATTTTTCCCTCCGTTTTCTTTTGGCTGTCCCACGCACACTCAGTAAAACATAAATCTTGTGACAAGTGATGAAGCTGTACTCAACACTATCTTCCTCATGTTTTTGATCTGTTTGAAAGGGGGATGCCCTATTCCTCCATCTGTTGCCGGTAGAGTATGACATTTGAAAATGATTAACATTTAAAGGTCAGAATAACCAAATATATACAAACTGCCCAAATCTGAGAAGGATTTTTTTTTTGCTGTTGTTATTGTTTTTTGCTTGATAGATAAAAAACAATTTTTTTTTTAGAAATTTAAATATTCACACAAACTGACTCGGGCAGAAATTATAGGATGAAGATAGATTTTTGACGAATCTGATTAAATGTGGCCACTGAGATTTTATGAAGCACTCTAAAATGCTTATACAATATATGAAAAACTGCCCGTGTAAGTCTGTTTTGCAAATGAAGAAGAACGTTCATTACATGAATTTATGAACTATTTTGACTGAGAAAGCCTTAATGCCCCAGGAAGTGAACTTCACTATTGCCCAGATTAATTTATCACATTCATTTGACTGAGATCTTGTAGATGTCAGGTGTGTGGGGAGATATATGAGGCTTTATATGAATTATATTTTAATCCCATGTAATTGACAGAATATGTTTTGCAGAACTCTTATGAGCTATTGTGTCTCTCGCAGCTGACAACAACCGTGGAGACGATGAGCAAAAACATGAGTTGTAAGATTCAGAAAATCCCCAGCTATTCATTTCAGACTTTCACTGACACAAACATATGAGTTTGAGGTGAGGGCAGAACAATGCAAATGAGAACATGTGGAGAAAATATTGTGAATCCATCCAGAAAAGATTTCCTGTCTGAAGTGGGTCACTATTCTGGGACCAATGTCTAACTGGGACATTAGCTGTGTTGTAAAGTTTCCCATAATATATGGGCTTAAAGATCCACCCTGTTGTTTTAATTATGAGAATTTACAGAAGTATATTTAGTCATTTGAAGCAAATTACATAGGTGTAAATGGAAAACATATCCTGAAAATAGCTGCAGAAAACAGGATGATTAATTCAATCACAGGTTAATATTAAAATAAATTAGAGAATAATTTGTTAAAATTTTACACAAGTGGCTACAAAATATTTGTGGAGGATTTAACATGGGCAGAAGTCACTAAAGGCATCATTCTGGTTATTCAAAATAACACCTTAATACATGACTTTAATGAAATAAATATGCACTGAACAGTTTGAAGTTGGTTTGTTCTTGAGCAACATTCAGCAAATTTGTATAGAAAACATGTTAAATGCGTCAAGATAAAATTTAACATCTTTCACATGCCACATCGACATATGAGCGTATGGATATTAAATATAGACATGCATAAATACATGAGTGGGTGGGTGGGAAGAGGGAAGTACCCCGGTCTGAACTGCGATGACAAACAAGTAGGCCTAAGGTGATGGTGGTGGAGATGGTGGACACAAGTCATCTTCCTGGCAAGCTCATTTTTATGTACCTTTTAAAGAAAAATTAAACTGATAATTTGTCAGGTGCATCACTTCACATTCACCCGAGCAAAGACTTAACTGAAGGATGTGGGAGATGTAAAATCAAATTTTTTGTGTGAAAATGAAACCTATGCACTATAGGTGAATTCCCCAGCTGTTGCTTCATTCCAGGAAACTGACTGCAGAGCACATACTGAGCCTGTACATACGTCTTGAGTTCCTGTTAAACCTCTGAAAATCCCTGCAGATTCTCTGTTATTTAAAGCGTTTTCACAAATGTATACATCTTACTGTTCTAAGCTTGACCCATTATGGAAATATGACACAACACATCGTGTTTATTAATTTTATTATGAAGAATGTCTGTGCATTAAAACAACTCTGGAAAAACAAACATGATTAATGTGGTGGATACATGACACACTTTTCTATTCATGACTAATTCATTTTTCCTTTTGTTCACTGATCACAAAACTTAAAGAAAAAAGAAAAAGAAAGAAAAATCAAGATTTGTTCGAAGCCAAAAGCAGTGAACTTTCTGTCAAATTAAAAATGCCACTGAGTACTTTTAGCGGTCATCACTGCATTCACAACCCTCCTTATGGCACCATAATGTTACACATTATCTCCGTTATGCAAAACTCAACCCTCAGACAAGTGAGATGCAAAAAAGAAAAACGCTGACTTGTCATTTCTTCTCTGCAACTTAACTCCCTGAAAAGTTAAACATGTTGAAATGATTTGGTTCATATGAGGAAGGACTTGAAATGAAAACAGTTAGAGAACCTAACCATTTTATGCACTAAGGTTGACCACCCAGAGCACAGCAAACATGATTATGTTTTTTTCCGAACAAGTTCAGGTCACACAGGATCCAAGTCAGTCGCACACACTAAGAAAAATTCAGTCTGCCGGTAAAGAAAGGCAAGAAAACAAGGCAAAAGATGATACTTTAGCTGGTACCAACATCTTAAATTGGTCTTCCTGAAATGTACAGGAGCATATGCTACAATTAACAACAAAAATCATACCTGAAATTGAACTGAAGTCACTTTGTAAGGAATGTGAGCTAAAAATACTAGTAATGGTCTCTACTGAACTGAAGACTCAACAAAGGCTGATACTGTACTGCGTCACATTTAAAGGTAAAGAAACATTCTGGGAAGGGGAGTGTGTTTTGCTCAGCCCGTGGGGGTTCACAGATCCCTAAGTTATGTCATCAGCTGCTTACAACATCCGCAATTTCGTGGAATCACTTTCTTGAAACGGGGGGAGATTTCAAAAGCTTCAGGCTCACAATTACCACCCGTTCACTGGTCCATGTTGTGGACGCTCATATGCTCCCGTTCAGCCTGATGACTTGTGAGGACCGACTGTGTGGGTTTCTCCTGCAGAGGTCCTCTGGGGCTGCCAGCTTGGTGATCTGTGGGGGAGTGGGGGTGTGTGGCTGTCCTGGGCTAGATTCGCTCCACGTAATTGGCTGGAAACATTCCGAAATGGCCTTCCGGGCTGAAGCCTCGCCACCAGCCCTCGTCTATCATCTCGATCCCTGTGATGATTTCGTCGGGATCGAACGAGATCTCTGTGTCATCAGCTGGAGGAGGAGGAGGAGGCCAGAGTCTCATAAACATCAATAGCTACTGTATGAGATGACACTTTCAAATCATACATTTTTGGAATTTGTCTAACAACAAAAGTTCACTAAAACATCGTTCCTATAAACAAGCCACTACTTAAAGACAATGCTGAAAAGCCTTATCATCAAACACTGTATGTGCAGTCACTGAATTACAGCATCATTTGATTTTAGTACCAGGCCATGGTGTTTATTGTAACAGAAGGTACTTGCTTTCTTTCTACTGAAAATAAAGCTACTCTGTCCTCTTGACCTCCAAATATGAGAAACATCTACAATAGTCAGTCTCCTTATTGCCTCTGCTAAAGCCTCACCATTGCTGCTTTCCATGTTACCCACTAAAAAACGAAAGGCGTTCAAGATGAGTCAGTGTAGACAATAAAACCAGTGTGGTAAATTTTGTACAAATATTAAAATGAGTGAAAATGGCTCAAAGTATCAAGAGTCAGGGGGAAATCTAAAGGGATAGTGAGGCAATGAGCAATTTACTGTTATTTTGGAGTTAGTTTCAGGATAATTTTGAGTCAGTTGCAAGAGGATGGTGGAAGTGTTGGTGGCTGTGGGGTAAATGGGGGAGTGGTTGGGGTATTTTGGAAAACTCACCAGCCTGGTAGTCATATAAGGCTCTAGCACAGATGCCTCCATGTGATAGCTCCACAGGGGTCACCTCATGGGACCTGTTCTCCTCCACCTGGGACAGAAGTGACATCAAGTTTGGTTCAGAATTCATTTATACAATGGGAGAAAACTGTTCTGCTAATGGTAAATAAACAATGACCTGATCATAAACCGCCTCCTGGATGATTGTGTTGGCAGCTGGTGACTCCTCTGCAAAGACAGATTTCTATCAGTATGACCGTGTCTGAGCTGGGCTGTCTGTCTACCAGCAGGTGGCAGCAACAGTTGATCCTGACTGAACAGTTTTGCTGAAGGGAACAATATGTCCTTACCAAAAAAAAAAAACTGCATATTGATAAGAAGCAGATGGGAGGCTTAGGAAGCTGATGTATAAAAGGTTAACATTGAGGCAGGTGTTTTGTGAAATGGGCCCCACCTTTCTGCTGCTCCTTGGTGAACTCTTCCTGCTCCTCATACTCATACCTAGATTGTCCATCATCCACACCAGGCTCTTATCACCCAAAACACAAGCACAGACATGCATGTATGCAAAGGAACATGTTCACCACGCAGAGTGAAAACCCAACGTCAGTCTCAGACATTATAAAACTAAGTACATTGAATGGCAGCATGTCTCATGATGAAATTTACGAATATAAAGAACATGAAGAAGATGACACACAGGATGAAACAATGAGAAATGAAGCATGGCATTTTTAGTAAAGACTATCACCCAATATGTTGTGTGTGTGTGTGTGTGTGTGTGTGTGTGTGTGTGTGCAAGCTCACACCTGTGGCACGGACAGGAGAGGCGGAACCTGCTGGCGCAGGAGAAGCCTGGCGCTGAGGTGAGCTGGCGCGCTCAAATTCATACACTTGCTTAGGCAGAAAAGGGCTTTGCAGACGCCCTGAGCAGAGACACACATGGAAACCCCCAAAGCATGCCCGAAAAAATGGACAAGAGAGGGAGAAAAAAAAAACACAGAGCAGACAGGTTGAGCAGAATAAGAGAAGACACCATGATGATGCACTGTGTTAATATGACCATGAGACAGACAGTCCGATGAAGAGTTAAAGCTCTGGAAAAGAACGATGCTGGAGAAAGCAGCCTCTTCTAGAAATGTTCGTACCTACTCCTACCTGTGAGAGAAGCCAAGAGCACTGCGCAGTAATACAGGAGAGCCTGTGACATTTAAACCAAACTGATGTGCACAAGAGGTCATAGGTGATACCTGGCTGGGGGCTAGCAGGGGCATGGGGAGCATCTGAGTCGCTAGGAGTGATTCCCCTCTCTCTCTGTTTGAACACCTCCCTGGGGTTGACAGCACGCTGAGAGATGAGAGAAGCTGCCTCCTGGAAAAAAAAAAAAAATCACACGTAAAATAAGCTTTAAAGAACCAGAGGTTATTAACAATATGATGGCGCGTGGTGCTGAGAGATAAAGGTTTCTAATAGTGTATTATGGAAAAAAAACGCCATGCAGCAAAGACTGGAAGACAGGTCTGGTTCAAAGAGTTCACATCTGGTTAGAAAGAGACAATGCTTGTCTTGATGGTAGGCAAGAAGATGGAAAGCAGGCTGGTAGAAGAGATCACTTTTCAGGAAGGGGAACTCACGTTGGCCTTCTCCACAGATTCCCCTCTCCTGACCGCTTTCCTCTGGGCTGCCTGGGTCTCCTGCTGCACCTCCTGGTGATGTCAATATCAGTGTTGGCACTAGCAACATTAGCTACCTTTCTGACTTAAATGTTTTTAAGATTGTGCTACTGAAACTTATTTAACCAGTCAACATCATTATAGAAAAGTGGTCACACACAATAGGAAAGGAAACTTTAAACCAATCCACATCTCATTTCAGCATCCCTTTGTCATTTTACTTCACTGTTGAATTGTCAGAGACACTCACCCAGGACTTCTTCCCCTGCTCTCTACTCTCAACTTCCTGTTGCTGCTGGTATTTCCTAAAAAATAAAAAGGCCATTTAGAAGACTGAACCTTTTTTACAGGCACCAACACAAACCAGTCTTCAGATGCTACCTACTTTTGCTGCTCAATTTGAGAGGCCCTCTCTTTGTCCCTTTTGTCCCTCTGTGCTGCCTCCTTTGCCTCTCTGTCTTTCCTCTCTCTCTCCAGCTGTTGGCGCTCTTCCTCTGCCCTGTGCCGCTCCTCCTGCCGACGTTTCTCCTCTTCTTTCTAAAAGCCAAACAGGTCAGGAAAGGTCACCATTGGTTTGGTGTTTCACAAACGTTACTTGAAAAGCTGGATTTCACAGCAGTTTAGCTAAGGAAACTGTAAGGTAAAGAACACCACTGTCTGGGTGCTGCTGAGCCAAAAGTGCAAAGAACAAATCACGCTTTTGCTGACTGGTTTCATTTGTATTTTCAAAAGATTAAGTAAATGCTGTTGTGCTTCATGTTTCAAAACTGCCGACTTACGCAATATTTCACCAAGTTCTTGCAATTTCAGCTAGACAGTGACTCAAAATCATTCAAAACCATCTGGCATAAAAATTTATTTTAGGAAGCAACTGTCTTAAGAGATATTTAAGGTACTCTTCACACCATCTGTGAGGTGATGTGGAGCCTACCTCTGCCTGTGCCCAGAATGTGTCTTTATTGGTCCTTTTGATTTCTGACATAGCGTTAGTCTTCTGGTACACAGAGCCCTGCAGGAAAAAAGGGACTATTCAGTGCAATTGTTTAAACATGACAATATAGCTTTACATAAGAAAGAAAAAAAATACACTGGCATACAAAGGTCTGCTTGAGTAAAGCTTATGTATGAAAATGAAATACGTCCTTCTCTGCAACTGATGCCCCAGCATATAACCTGTTATTTAAATTATATTGAGGCTAACAATTATGCATTTAAATAAGGGTGGTGGCCACTTTGAGTGACAGGTGGGAGGGTCCCGTCCAAGTAGCTAGCTGCTAGCTGGACTGGATTGGCGTTGGCCATATTGAGCTTCGAAACCGCTGTTCAGAAAAGCAGTGGGTGCTGTCACAGTGGGTTTGTCCATCTCTTAAATACAGTAATGAACCAGTGATTAATCAGAGACAAACTAACACAGACCTGGGCATTTTACGGCCCGCGGGCCACATCCGGCCCTTTGGGCGTCCCTGTCCGGCCCGCGTGAGGGCCCTCAAATCAG